TATCTGCGCAATGATATGTGCTTAATAAATAAATCATATGCAAATTATAGCTTATTAACATTTTTTTCTTTTTCCAAATTATCTAGATAGATCATCCGTTTCTTGTTCGGGTCATAAACTGAGAAAAATTGGCACACAAAAGCTACGAAGTTAACGTGAATTCGAACCAGTCCATGCACAAGAGCAGTATATTAATTTTTAACTCACAATCACGTGACTACCTCAATATGAAAAATACGGACAAGTAAAAAGCAATACATGAGGATATTCTTGAACCAATGCTCAGAAACTCCGATCAGAATTAGTTTACTTTTCGTACCAAATAGCCACCAAAATCGCTTCTTATGACCCTTCGTTTATATGCAATCGTGGTAGTGCAGGCTGGATTAAACTAATTATGTAATAGTTGGACGGTAGCCAAGTGTATCGAAGGATATTTATGTCTCTTCCACATCCATACAAAAATTTACTTTATTTTCAAGATCCACGACAAGTAGGAAAAGCAATTAATATGAAGATATTGTGTACCAGTGCAGCAAATTTAAAGCTCAACTGTTCTGGGTTCTTTCATTCAATGGAACGTACCAGTATATTATAAGCGCTGAAACGTTTGAATATTGTTGTGTAAATTAACTATTAATAGTACTAATTAAGCGTTATGTGTCATATTGCGTGACCACTTGACATTACTGTTATGTTATATTTAGATAATACTGTAGATAATTATTTAGCAAACTATCCTACGTGCATGTGGAATGTATTCTGTATTAACAATGGCTACATAAATCATACATAAACAGAATACTGTACCTCCAATATTTTCGTTGCCTGAGCAGAGAGCGTCACTACTGCCAGGACGTTCAAACGCTAAAATAAGACGAGTTAAATTTGCTTGAATTTTATGTGCTAGTTCCTATAATCCTATAAACGACGTTCGCTTCTGTTATGGTGTCTGTTTTTTTTGTTGTTTTTTTTACAAACTTAGTCATAAATGACAGGTTAACCCTACCGAGCTTAATGCTCCATTTACAGGGTCCCTAAAGGTTCCTGGTTGGTTCCCTGGTTTCCCCAGGGTTCCTGGTTGTGTAAACCTAACATAATTAAAAAGCAATTAAAAGTTATAATTGTGTAATTGTTTAATGGCGATATTTCTGTGAGTAAATTTAAGAAACCTTTTGTAGGTTTCCTTTGATTTATAGCCTGCAGGTATAGTCATGCTGATATCAGTATTTTTTGGGAGCTCTTAGCATGCACTGGAAGTAACTGGAATGATAAATCAGGGATGGATGGATCGAAGCCGAACTTTGTAGGTAGTTTCAGAATCATCTGATCTCAGAGATGATCTGATCTCATTACGTGCACTTTAACGGTCCAGTCTATTTTGTCAAACACAAAAAGAAATTGGTGACCTTTCTTTAGCAGCTCAACCGCACTGTCCATAATATTGGGCTCCAATTTCCTCTAGTAATGGATACTTCATCTTCGACCTAAGACAAAATCCATACTTGTTTAACTGATCCAGGAGCGGGTTAATTTAAAATACCCATGCCCACTAAAAAGGGGGGTCCAAATTTCACAATTATGCCATTCCTGCTTTTGTGGGCCACATGCCTGTCGGTCATATTAATTTCGAGAAACAACCGATGAAATGGTATCAAATTCAACATCTCGAAAGTAAAAGATCTGAGGTTTAAGAGTAAAATTAATACGAAATCGAGGTAGAAAAGTATCGCCGAAAAAGGCACAGACTAAAAGAATTTGTCAAACGATCATGATGAAGCACACTCACCTCATAACAGGACAACAGACGTTGCGAAGAGAATGCTTTGTTCGAAATGTGCTCACCCTTTCGATCGATATGAAGTGCATTTTCTCGGCAATCATTGCAGAATTTCGCTCATTTCTATCACAAATATTGCTAAAAAAATCCTCGTCAAAATTACTTTGTTTAAACTGCGATTTGCAATAGATAAACAAGTGAAAATTAGTGAATTCTACCACCCCGTAGAATCGTCGCCTCATGGCCGCCAGTTCAACAAAAATAAAGAAGATACCCAACTACCAGCATGCATTGCGGCCCGATTTGCTATAAGGTTAAAGGTCCATTCAGTAACATTCTGACTGCGCATTTGCTACTTCTTGTGTATAGTATTTTACCTCAAGCATCCGATTACTTGCAAAAAAGTGGTTTGGATTACCTTAATAATGGAAACTTTATTACTTTTAATAATATATATACACACTACAATGATAAACCTCTCTTTACAGGTAGTTTACCAGTGTCTACTTGAATTAACACTCAATAATAACAATATTAGTATGACATTAGTTGTGGGTTATCCCGTTCTTTGTCACGCTTACAGAATATATAATACGAGGACCTGATACATATGTTAATAATTTTCCAAACATAGTACTTTGTTCATCAAACTTTAGATCTTTCAGCATTTCGGTGAAATCTAGCGACGGGTGGCTGAAAACTCCTAATGAGCTAATCGATAAATTTACAAATTTCACTTTTTCATAATTTTTGAGCTGTTCGTTAATTAGATCTTGATATTTTTGTCTTTTTCGAGTTGCATTAGTGAGGAGATTAGATTCAAATCCGACGGTAAGTTCAAGTATATAAATACATTTGTTTTCAAGTGTTATCAAAAGATCAGGGCGCAATTCATCTCCGGTGAGAACAGCTGGACTGATATAGCCAGGAAGGTCAGCATAAAGGTTACAATGGTTCACAGATTTAAGTATGGTTGCTATGAAGTTAAGCACCGAATCATGACGCCACCTGAAACGTCCTTCATTTAGGTAGGTCTTGCATCCAGGGACGACGTGAAGAAGTGATTCTGGATTCAAACAAAACGAACATTCGGATGTTGGTGATATTCACCATTTCATATAAATATATTCTTGGCAAGTTTACTCTGAACGGAGGACCATATAGAGTTGAATGAGAGTGTAGAATGTTTAATGATGTTGGAGAAAAATGAGCCTTGTGAAATGAGGTGGTGTTGAAGCTTGTCTTCATGTTGTTTCCTGATGGTGTTTAATACGTCCATTATAATTGTTGACATATCCAAAATTCTCGCTGAAATAGTTATAGACGACTGTTGCCATGGTGTTAATGTTATTATTTAAATCGCGCGGTGTTATTGGAAGATTTGAAAAGGTTAGTTTGAAAAAATAGTTACAATTGTAATGGCGATTTAGGTAGTTTGATTCCTTTTTTTAAGTCTGGGAAGTTTTCTTGCATGTTTATAAGCGATATTTCAGGGTTAACTAGGTCCACATTATCCTCATTCTGTTGTTCGGTTAAAACTTCAGACATTTGATGTTGTAGCTCGTGTTCAAGGTCATCAATAACTCTGCAGCTTCGTTGGTGCATTTTAAGACCGCGCGCCCCTTTGCAGACTTTACCACAGCAACATTTAACAGCCTTGTTAGATTTAATCGGCAAACATTCTTGTGAAGGCATTTCTATAGCAGGAATAGCATTTACTCTGGTTTCTTGCCCATATTCCACTTTGCTTTTACAGCGCCACGAGTGACAGCCCAACGATACAAAATCCTTGCCACAAAATCCACATATTATTAGCGTTGAAAACAACGCAAGCAACTAGTTCACACGAATCATTGATTAATTAGAAGTATAAAAAACCGGAATATGACGTTAGTACGATCAATTCAAGTAAAGTTTTTCGTTGAAATTAAGGACATGTACAGAGAGCGTGTATACGCCACTGCTCGATGTCTATCAAAATGGAAACTTTATTGAAATTATATACGTATATATACAATTATAAATCTCACTAATTTAGGTAATTTATAATTGACTACTTGAACCTACTTAATATTTATATATTAATAATGAGTATCCTTAAATGTTCAGTAATTCCGGATTTAACCAGTCCTTATCTCTGCAACAAAATATATAATATGTTGTCCTAATCGCGATAGACATAATTTTCCTGATAGTGAAATATTGGTGTCTTTTATCAAGACCTAGATCATTTAACATATCTAAAAAGGAATTACATTCTTTTGAGAAAACGCCTAAAGAACTAATTGACAAATTTACAAATTTTACGGACTTAAATGGTTTCTTTTGCTGTGTAATGAGATCTTCGTATCTTCTTCTTTTCCGATCAACATTTGTTTGTAGATTAGACTCATAACCAACAGAAAGTTCAAGGATATAGAGACAATCCGAGTTGATAGATAGAAGTAGGTCTGGGCGGAATGTGTCACTATTTACAATTGATGGGCTTTTATAACCAGGAAGATCGACAAAAAGATTGGAGTTGTTTACAGGTTGTAGCGTTTGTGCTATGAAGTTCAGAACAGAATCATGTCTCCATGTAAATCGTGGGAGGTACGTTTGACATTCAGCAACTACGTGTAAAAGGGTTTCAGGGTTTAAGCAGAAGGAGCAATCAGAGTTGGACAATATTCCCTATTTAGTAAGGTTTTTACGAGTTGGTTGTGAGTTATTAGGCTAATGTAACGAATGGTGAAGTTATAAATGTTCTTTGGGAGGTTTGATTGGGATTTAGACCATATGCCGTTTAATTTCGACAGTGAAAACTTAATGACATTTGAGAAGAAGGAGCCTTGCAAAATCAGATGATTCTGCAGTTTGTCTTCTTGTCCGGAGGTAAAAGTTTTAAGGACTTCCTTTGTCGAGGTGTAGACGTCGTACTGAATGTTTTTGCTTTCAGATGTTGTTTTCCAGAGGTCTTTTATGGAATGATTTGGAGAGGTCTTTAAGGCGCTATAGCAACTGTTTGGCACTGAACAAACTTAAATGACGGCGGGTAGATATTTAGACCAAACTTGTTACTGGTTAGGTAAACGTTAGATAGAGTTCCTGATATAGGTATTTCAAGCCATTTACGTACGTAATTGTTCACCACAGAATCCATATTTTCAGAGACCCAGGTTTTTGATAAGGTGGTTACAGTGAAATGCCAGGAAAATTTGGATAGGATGTAACGACTGACTATAAAGCAAAAGTTTATTTTTTGGGTGCAAAAGTTTGAGATCAATTTCAGACATAATGTCGCCCATGAGAGTGATTAGCTCTTGTTTGTGTTCTTTCTCGGACATACTAAAGTCAAAATATTTCCCCAAGTATCGAAACGGCTCTCCAATTTTAGTGGCAGGTATCAATTCATTGTTAATCAGAGGTTTAGGTAAATATTGGATAGATTTTGTCAGACTTTTCCTGATCCCAAATGTTGAACACTTATCAACGCTGACAATCATGTTAGACCACTGGCACCAGATCGAGAATTGATTTAAAAGATGTTGATTTTCTGAATCTTGACCGCTTATTACCGCAGCATCATCAGCGAACTGGAACCAATGGACTGGGTTTAAAAGATTTGTAATGAAACCAAATTGCCGGTATTTGTCAGTTTTTATATGTTGAATAAAGGTATTGATGCACATATTTAAAATTAGAGGACTAAAACAGTCTTCTTGAAGAACTCCACGACCGACAGTTATAAATGGGGTGGAGAATTCTGATGTTATAAATGCAGTATTGAAGTCCGTATACAAACTCTTTATTATTTCGCTAACGTCTTTGGGAATGTGATGATAGTCGAGGACAGATTGAATTAGATTATGATGCACTTCACCAAAAGCGTTCTTGAGATCGAGAAGGGTGATGACAACAGAGCGCTGCTTTATTCTCGCTTGGTTGATAATATTTGTCATTTGAGCAGTGTGTTCCAGAGTGCCACACAGATTGGGAGTGAAACCTTTTTGAATCTGATGTTCAATAAAGTGATCAGCAGTTAGGAACGAGAACATAGCATTGCGGAGACAAGAGGTAAACACTTTTAGTGGTATAGTTTCTAGAGTAATTGGGCGGAAATTGGAGGGGTCACTTGTATTGCCTTTTTTGTGGATAAGAATAGAACACGCTTTTTCCATTCAGCTGGTACAGATTTCGAAGACCAGACGCTACGTATCACTTCGGTTAGATAAGTGCGCAAGAATGGACAACGTTTGAAGCAAATGATTGAAAGTTGATCTAGAGGACAAGGCGATCCAGAAGCTTTCATTCTGCGAATAATGTTTGTAACTTGGCGATATGTTGGGGGTTGAAGGTCAAAGTTTACGATAGGATCGGATAACTTCGGAATCCAGCTTGGAATACAAAACAGTTTGTTTGGGTTAATTGACCATTTGCGTAATAGACTAAATTTTGATCTCAACAAAAATTTCATCACAGCTTGAAAGAGCATCACAAAATTAGTAATATTCCAAAGTTTCGTTGCAAAATGTTGTAAAATGCGGAAAATATAGCCTTGCGAAATTTGCAATTTTCAGTCATTTTAGATTACAAACCGGAAATTGACAGCCTCGAAGGGTTTGGGGCTGTCAATTTTCCGTTTGTAATCTAAAATGACTGAAAATTGCAAATTTCGCAAGGCTATATTTTCCGCATTTTACAACATTTTGCAACGAAACTTTGGAATATTACTAATTTTGTGATGCTCCTTCAAGCTGTGATGGAATATTTGTCTAGACTTGTTTAGTTCAAAATTTAGTCTATTACGCAAATGGTCAATTGAACATAGAGTTTTCTTGAAATAGTTTAGGCATTCTGACATTGGAAAGCATGGAAGTAGGCAAGTGTTCTTATTCAGGACGTTCTTAACGTAACCCCAGAAATTTCTACTGATGTAATTGTCGTGATTGAACGTTTTGTTTTGGTTTTGAGTTGTATTGATTTGACAAGCATTACGCAACTTATTACGCAATGTGCGAGCTACATATTTGATTTCGTGAGGATCAGCGTTCGATAGCTTTAGTTGTTTTAGACATTTCTTCAGAGCGCTGGTAGAATCGATATCGATCGTAGCTGGTCATTCATCCACCGGATTATTCACCTTTGGAATAGGAGATACTCTTGCAATTTTCCAAGCTTTGGGAAAACAAGAGTCCATGTTACACTTATTAATGAGATTCGTGTTGGGTACAGCAATATCCTCACTAACCATCTTAACATAATTGATAGGTATACAGTCAGATCCCGTTGATGAATCAGTTCGAAGTGCTTTGATAATATTCGTTACTTCATTTATTGAGACTTATCTAAGTTTAAAAGAATCGTTCATATCATCAGGTAAATTGTCAATCATTTCAAGAAGTTCGTGTTCTTCCGCAACTCGACAACCAGTAGTTCTCTGTGCTGTCGTTACAGAATGTTGATTGAGGTCATCTAGGTCAACACGCAAAGGCTTTGGATTTGGTTTGAGGATACGATGTATAATTTTCTAAACATCTCGTGATTACGAGATGCTAATGCATTTTCCATAAAAGATTTGCGCGCTGAACGTATATATTTCAACCTTTAATGCGTTCCTTATGTACTATTTAAAAAACGAGCGGGAGTGTTTTATTAGGTTTAAAGCCACGAGCGCGCAGCGCGAGTGGCTTTAGACCTAATAAAACACGACCCGCGAGTTTTTTAAATGACTTCAAAAACGTATGCATAATAAGTCAAGTCTTTATATAAAAATCTTTATATAAAAACCTTTATATAAAAATCTTTATATAAAAATCTTTATATAGTTTGCATAACAATGGTCTTTTGTTAAAGTGTTCTTTAGCTGGTATAAAGACGTATGCACGTGACTAATTTCTTACTCAAGATTGGATAATTGCTTCATGAATTATTAATTATATAATGAGTTTTTGAAGTACTATTTAAAAAACGAGCGGTAGTGTTTTATTAGGTTTAAAGCCACGAGCGCGCAGCGCGAGTGGCTTTAGACCTAATAAAACACGACCCGCGAGTTTTTTAAATGACTTCAAAAACGTATGCATAATAAGTCAAATCTTTATATAAAAATCTTCATAAAAATCTTTATATAAAAATCTTTATATAAAAACCTTTATATAGTTTGCATAACAATGGTCTTTTGTTAAAGTGTTCTTTAGCTGGTATAAAGACGTATGCACATGACTAATTTCTTACTCAAGATTGGATAATTGCTTCATGAATTATTAATGAGTTTTTGAAGTACTATTTAAAAAACGAGCAGGAGTGTTTTATTAGGTTTAAAGCCACGAGCGCGCAGCGCGAGTGGCTTTAGACCTAATAAAACACGACCTGTGAGTTTTTTAAATGACTTCAAGAACTGGCATTTGCATAATAAGTCAAATCTTTGTATAAAAATCTTTATATAAAAATCTTTATATAAAAATCTTTATATAGTTTGCATAACAATGGTCTTTTGTTAAAGTGTTCTTTAGCTGGTATAAAGACGTATGCACGTGACTAATTTCTTACTCAAGATTGGATAATTGCTTCATGAATTATTAATGAGTTTTTGAAAGATCTATACAAACGCCACGAGTCTTCCGATTTTGTCGAGTGTGCTTCCTCTCGCAATTTATCTCCCTGTAATTTTAAGTTCTCAATATTGTGCGTTCTCATCCAATGAGCAGGAGGACGAGTGACGCGAGTTCTTATAAGAGCACAGTGCCGTTCCAGGCATTCATTAAACAATTTATTAATAGTTTGTAACTGATCATCAGGAACATCAAAGTGTTTAGCCACAACAAAGGGAATGGTTTGGTGCTTGGAACATGGTGCAGTCATCGACAGACGAGATCACAGAATCTCATTTGACACAGTGTACCGTGTACGAAGCATCAATTAATTTTACCCAGTCAATGAATGCCAAGCGTACTGCCTGCAGACGATCTTGACGACATTAAAGTTGAATCGAAACTAAAAGATGTAAGAGTTTCACGGAAAAAAATGAATGCCAGGAGAGCAAGCATCTGATGTAGTAGTAGAGGATCCAGTTGTGCGGTTTTGTGCAAACGTATTTAGATGAGTAGTTGACCAGATTACGACAAGTATTGACGAACGCTTTAGTCAAACGGTCAACTAATTAAAGATACAGCATATCTTGATCCACGACGATTTGATGAAACAGTCTTGTCTGGTGTTCCTGAAAACATCCTTACTAAACTTGCTAAGATAACTGGCGTTGACCCTTTGTCACTAAAATAAGAATTATGCTGTTTTGCGAGAAATGTCACGGTGTTATCACGATTATGAGTCTGAAGGTGCTTCTGATGACGCTGTCACCATGACCAGTACCAGTGAGGAGAACAGTGAAGAGGAGAGCAGTGATAATGAAGACGGCGGTGTTAGCAAGAATTCAATAGTAAGAAATCGAAATGCTGCTTGCAAAGGAGACTGTAAATTAAACCGTACGAAGATTTTTAGATCATCAAATCTGTAAATGGTAAGATGTAAAGTCATCAGCCCGGATAACCAGGCTAGCACAAACACAGTCTCGTAAAAATAGAAATATTTTTCTTGATTTAACTTTTATTTCTTAATTATGTTAATCTTGCAGATGCAATAATTTTTAATTGAAAATATGTCAAATAAAGCATGAATTTGACTTCAGTGAAAACCGTCAGTTATTAGCTTGTAAGTTTTTCCACCAATGTAATATTGCTTGCTGACATTGTTGCCTGGCATACTGTACATCTCACTCTGGCTAGCTGGGCTCATGTAAAAAGCCCGTTTACTTTGTCTGATACCAGACAATTTTACAGAGAGAGTCTTGCAAATTTAACGAGTGAATTACTTTTAAAAGAGTTGCAAACACTTTTGTCAACCCATTGCCAATGTTTTTTTAAGGCGAAAAATTATCAATTTCCCAACATATATATGTTAGGTATGATATTATACATAATAATTATAAGCTGCATTTTTAAGTTAAAATTCAACCACAAACGCTTCGCAAAACGTTTTAAAGTACTCTTACAAAACTAAACTGACTTTAATAATTAAATGGCTTTATTGACAAACTTTGAGTTTGCAATAAAATGATTTCAAATTCTCGCATGCAAATAACTTTGCTTTCTTTTTTATTTAAAAAAATCAATATAATAAAAAAGGAAATCAATATTAAAGATACACTGAAATTATATGCTGTCTTGTTTAGTTGTTTCATAAACGCAAAGGTCTTCGCCAAATGCCGTCGGGTTTTAAAGCAATTTTAAAATCAATATTTAAAACAAATTTACCTTCGTTAACGTCGCCTCCCTTCTTTTAGCCGATTCTTTTGCCCTTTCTTTCTTAGCTCGAGAGCAAAAATAAAATATATTTGCAAGAAATTTATCAATCATCAAATCAAGAAATGTTTGCCATTTCGCTGTCGTCATGCAGTCGTTATAATGCAAACTTTAAATTGGACCAATCACAGTGTTCGCTATTCATGACAGTTCGCCATATTTTTTATATCAGTGAGGATGACTACCCACGCACATTGAGCCACGCCCGCGATCATTGGTGAACTTTAGACTTCGCTAATTCTTTCTTTTCCCCGGGTGTAAATAGCCGGGAGGGGGAGAGAATTAATACCCTCGCACGGCGCATCGCGCCGTCGGCTCGGGGACTAGCCATCAACACAAACGCTAAAAACGTTTTGGTCCCAGACCATGGAATTCCAGTTTATGTTGTGAGGAATGTGTATGTTGCCGATTCGCAGGCCCCCTTTGTTTTTCGCGGCCAATTGCCCCCTGGCGATCCCATAATACATTGCATTTGCAAATAATACAATGTATTATGGGATCGCCAGGGGGCAATTGGCCTGCGAACCGGCAACATACACATTAAAGATCGTGTCAACCAATAATGAACTATCAGATACTCAGCGTATGTCATTGCATGCCATTATGTTTTGAAGGCTTCTATCTACTCTGTTGTGGTGAAATTTTTAGTTATTACTTATGTGGATCGTGTCAATTCTGTTGGCAGAGGTTAAAAATTGTTATCATTATTTGTATAGATGTTTGCATGATTGTAGTCCTATCTTATATATTGTAAATATTTAATAATTTTAGCTATTATTAAATTTGTGATTTGTACACTCAGATGTGTTGCTTCTTTTACT